ATCCATCTTTTCTTCGGTCTTCCTCTCCCCGGGTAACCCTCCACTCTCATTATACAGGTTGGCTTATTGAAATGGGTCAGGATGGGAAAGTCTGAAACGATAATATATATGAAGATCTGTTCTTAGAAACAAGATTTTAATAAAAATAAAAACTGCATTCATACATTTAAGAAAAACCCTGTGATCAGCACGGGAATCAAACCCGGTCGTTTTGAAAAAAAAACTTACAATATTTCTAGTGAAATATCGATTATGTAGGTCTGAAGCAGTAAATGTTTCTATTAAACGTGATGTCTAAAATGAGTAAAATGCATTTTTGTCACATAATTTAAATTATTTCAGTAGAGGTTCTAAGTGACCACCGTTTTTTTCATACAAAGTTTAACACGTATAGGTAACTTATCTTACTAATAAATAGAAATAGGAAATAGTGTTAGTTTTTTTTTCAAAACGACCGGGTTCGATTCCCGAGCTGACTATAGGGCTTTTCTTAAATGTATGAATGCAGTTTTAATTTTTATTAAAATCGATGACATAGTTCCTAAGAACAGATCTTCGTATATATTATAGTTCAGACTTTCCCATACTGACCCATTTAAATGAGCCATCTTGTATACTCTCATATTAAATTTTTGACCATTATATAATTATTTGCCGAACAAGGATTGCTGCCTGATTTTTTAAATTGCTTACAAAATCTTTTTGTGCCGACCAAATTATTTAAAGGCTGACCAATTATATACTTCTCATGAAACATTAGTATTTTGTGTAACCTCCTTCTGCATTTAATACGTCTTGTAAACGTTTCCTCATGGAACCAACTACCTTCTCACAAAAACCTCGACCTCTGAACGATTCCCAAACATCATTTGCATGTCGCCTTAAGGCTTCTGTTGTTCGACATTGATTCCCATCCCACTCTTGCACCATTTTACCCCAAAGGTTTTCGATGGGATTGAGGTCTGGACTTTTTGGTGGTAGTTTGATTAAAGTTAGTTCTCTCTGTTCATTAATCCATGTCTGTACTGTACGAGCATTATGTACTGAGCTGTTGTCTTGAAGGAATGTAATTTGTTGTTCTGGATAAAAAACTTGAGCTGTAGAAAGAAAAGTATCTTCCAGAAGTTCCTTATAATTCATTGCATTCATTCGTCCACTTATTTCCACAAGCTCACCAGGACCATCTTTGCACATCCATCCCCAAAATCCAATTGAAATACGTCCACTCCGGCGATTAGGCAGCACATTTTGTTCTAAGTAACGTGTGTTTTCGGGTCGCCACAAACTTAATCGCCCATTATCTGATGAGCAGAAAAACCTTTTCGTCCATGAAAATAACGTTTTGAAAATTAAAATTTAACCCGGCGTCAGCACAGTCAAAATATGCAACAACGACAGTAGGGTTGGGTCGAGAGGACCCGTATAAGAAAACGCCATAATTACAAAAGTTAAAATAAATTTGGTTTGTGGTTATACTATCTATATAATACGATTATCGTTATAGGTTTTGAGTAGAAAAAAACACAACATGATACGAAACTATCTTTTTAATGTCATTTTCATAAAAGTGTCACAAAATATTAACAAAATGGACAACCTCTGTCTTAAAGTAATAAAATTTTAACAAAACAAAGTTTTTTCTATAACATAAACTAATTTGTTACATGTTAATCAAATCTTTAGTAGACTAATAATATTATACTATGTGTATCAGTCTCATACATCAGTCATAGTATCCTTATCATCTGCGCAATATCGGCGTCAGTACAACATTGCGTGCTCACTGCAGATGTTTTTGCTACAGCTCCGAAAAGTATTATTAGTTTTTCTATATTTTTTGGTAGAACAGTCTTGCAGGTGGCTCCTCATCAGGTTCTACTAAAAACTCTCTGATTCTTTTGCGCATAAGTCTTTGCAACTGAATGACATCTTTACGATTGCGCAAATACTCACGAACCAGTGGAAGGCTTAAGTTTCTTTAGAAATTGGTGTCGCTTTTACGTAGTGTTGTTATTCTTGTTATGTAATATGTACGCATTTATTCCAAACATTTTTAGCATGCCAAAAATAACAAAATAAACAATATAAAACAACAAAAAAAAATTTTTGACGGCGCAAAATTACGACACTAATAATATGGTTGGGTCATATTTACCCTTTTCGCGTTTGGCCGTGTCTATCACCCACTGAGGCCGCAACACGACTGAATGGCGATATCCCCCGCGAAGGGGGTACCATTAGCTCCAGCTACTGAGAAGTTTAGCAACGTCGCACAAACATTTTAAGAAACAAGCTCATTTGAAAACTGCGCGGGTCAAATAGACCCAACTGTGCGAACGCCGGGTTAAATAATTAGCTGCAAATTGTAGCCGCTGCATTTTGTGCCTTGGCGTGAGTGTTGGTTTTCTTGCCGGTACTCTATTTTTTAAACCGCCTTCTTTTAATCGTCTTCTAATGGTGCTAGTGGATATTTCGAATGTACTTGAAAATTGTGTAGTGTTTATAAATCTGTCATTTTTGGCTTTATCTGTAATAGCTATGTCTTGATTATTTGTAGTAATACGCGGGCGACCAAATGAAACATGATTATTTAATGTTTCTTCTTGCTGCCATCTTTCTAGCCATAAATAGTATTTCTCTGAAATAAATACAATTTTATACTTTGTGAATAAAGTTTCATGTTTTGTGGGCAATTGATTTTTAGCATTTTTCTCCGTGATACTTACGGCTATCCCTAGCTCATCGGCGATATCTTTTACGGATAAACCATCATTTTTTAGTTGTATTATTTTATGTTTCATTTCCGCATCAATACGGTACGAACTCATATTAATTATAGTTAATTTATGGTATGATCTAATACGTAAGCAAGCTGCTTGAATTTATTTGTGCATGACACATGACAGAGGTGATAAGAATAAAAACTGGAAAGTGTTTAACTGCCAGCGTCATCTTATTATAAATAAATAATTAAGAGGTCCTATTAAAATTGTTCAGATATTTTTGAAAAGTTGTATGTCCAGATATTATTGAAGTAATGAATGATCAGATATTTATGGTCACTTGTAGTGTATAGAACTTATTGACATTTTAACTGTTCAGATGTATTTGGTCATCTTGTATGCTCAGATATATCTGATGGCGACTGTACATATTTGTGCCCTTACTCATGTTTAGTATGTAAGATTGGCGGCAGGGATTGTGGCGATTTACGTAAATGTTTTTTTTTCCACAACACATGTATATAGCACCAACTTGACGACCTCCGTGGCCGAGTGGTATGTACGCCGGCCTACTCGAGAGGTCCTGGTTTCGAATCCCGGTGGGGGCAGATGTTTGTGTAATGAATACGAGCATTTGTACTCCAGTCATGGATGTTTAATTAATATGTATTTCTATATAAATATACTTGTATATGTATCAGTATATGTATTTTATCTGTTGCCTATGTATCCCATAACACAAGCCTTAGTGCTTACTTGCCATTGCCACAAGTGCTTACTTTAAGACTAGGCAATAGGTGTAATTTAAATAAAAACAAAATACTTTATTTTGTGAATACAAAATTGTCAGTTGTTTGTCTGTTAATAATCTTATCAGTGTCTGATGGAAAATCCTTGAGTGATAGGAATTTAGGTTTGTAAATCATTTTAATATGCGCATGAGTCGAGACACCCGTCAATTCTAAAACAACCATTCAGAGTATATTTTTTTTTATGTGTCCATAGATAAAACCTAAAATTATTTAATATCCAGAATTTCCTAATCCTTAATTTGAATAAATAGGTAAAAATTTTACCTACAACACAGCTATATTATTCTCTGTTAGCAGGAAGATTCATATTTGTTTTGATTTTAAGATATTCTACCTTAAATTTGACGACACTACTGAACCTTGACATTGTGTTTTTTCTCCTAATCCAATTGCAACATGCCTATCGAAACAAAGGCAACTAGGTCGCTACATCGATGTACATAATGACAAATCGATTGCGACTTGTCGTGGGAAACGTGCACAATTTAATTGATTCCCGTTTACATTGCAGTATCTCTCGCTGTGTATTTTAGCAACCCATGCGCGCGCGACTGCGGGCGCCCACTCGCCCGTTTGTTTGCACAACCCATCCGCAGTCGTCGCATGTGGGATGTATTTATGACGATTCTCATTAATTTGTTTCAATAAAGTTCTCTTTAAAGATTTTACATTAAAATCAAGTACCCACCCGGTACACGCCCCGGTGAAGATAGAAACCTGGATTTTTGATAAGATAACTTCGAAGATTAGATAGTTATCTATACTTCATATTTTTTTTATTTAATTATTATTTGTAAGACTAATAATGATGTCGATTCAGGACTGACTCTACTAAAACCAAAAATTAAATTTGACAACAGTACACTCTTGTAATTCTCTTTACAGAATGATTAAGAGAAACTGATATTAAAAGTTTAGAGAATCATACCAAAATCGACACTAATATGTATCTAAAAAGACAAACTTAAGCTGCTTAATAAAATTATTTTTAAGCATTTCACTGCTAGATGTTTAAATATAAAGAAAACCCGTCCCTTCTGCTGCCTGGTCCGCGTGGAATTTTTTCTAGTAAACTTTTCTTTAGATTTAAGCAGTAGCAGTATTTGAGATAAGTATTGTTTGTGTACATCATGAGTAGTATGCGCGGAAGAAACAAAAGTTTTCTTCTTCCGCGCATACTACTCTTGTATTTCCGTCCGTCGATGTCCAAATTAGGTCCCTCCAGAATATCAGCGTTGCAGCGGCAATCCATTTTTGCCGTTGCAACATTATGCTGAGGTGGGGCCTAGTTGAAGATGTACCTTTTGTTTTATGTTTGTTGTGTATTTATTGTAATTGTTAATGTATGTCGTCAATAAATGCTTTTCTTTCTTTCTTTCTTACTCGTCCCAACGATGTAACAGGACGAATTGTCATCTAATTTGTTTGCTTAATTGTTTTCATGTTGAACTGATAGTGATTTGTTTTGCGACAGGCGGAGCAGCGGCTGGCGGCTCGGCGAGCGGCGCGGGCCGAGGCGCGCGAGATCCGCATGCGAGAGCTGGAGCGGCAGCAGCGCGAGCAGGAGGACCATGCCGACAAGGCGTACGACATGTACGCCAACTCGGGCAGTCTGCGCGCCACCGTCGCTGACTTCAAAGGTATTATAATAATATTAACATTCATTTAAGATTATTCATCCATAATGGTTAGTAATAATGATGCTTACAAGTCTAGTGTTAGTAAATTGAATTTAATAAAAAAAAACATATTAATAATAAATAATAAAAAAAAATACGACTAAGGAGTCACCGCCGCTGTATGTAGATTGAAACAACGCATAAGCAGCGGTGAATCCCAGCGCGCGTACGATAATGTTTGGGCTGGGGCTGGAGCGTACGCGCGATAGCAACTACCCTTGCTTGCGCATTATTGCCTAAAAGCAATCAGTACGCGCCTCTTATGACCATTTCAAATGTGTTGGTCGGAGATGAGCTGCAGGGTAGCTGTAAAGGCTATTTTTTCTCGCGAGTAAGAGGGCCATTCCTCTGCCTGATGTACCCATTTTAAAGTGATGAGTGATGACCAAGGAGCTCGATGGCGCAGGTGGTTAGCGCGTTCGGCTGCGATCGTTGAAGCTAAGTAACTTTCGCAGTGGTCGATCATTGGATGGGTGACCAAAACATCTATCTCGAGTTCCTCCGTGCTTCGGAAGGCACGTTAAGCCGTTGGTCCCGGCTACATCTGCAGTCGTTAGCACCCGCCAATCCGCGCTGGGCCCGCGTGGTGGGTCATAGCCCAAACTCCCTATTCCATCCATAGGGAAGGCCTGTGCTCCAGCTGTGGGGACATTAATAGGCTGATGGTGATGAATGGTTACTAATAATGATGCTTACAAATCTAGTGTTAGTAAATTGATTTCAATAAAAAAAAATATTAATAATAAAAAAAATATTCCGACTAAGGAGTCACCGCCGCTGTATGCAGAGCAACGCATAAGCAGCGGTGAATCCCAGCGTTCGGACAGCGCGCGCACGATACTGTTTGGGCTGGCGCGTACGTGCGATAGCAACGACCCACTACGCTCGCGCATTATTGCCTAAAAGCAATCAGTATGCGCCTCTTATGACCATTTCAAATGTGTTGGTCGGAGATGAGCTGCAGGGTAGCTGTAAAGGCTATTATTTCTCACGAGTAAGAGGGCCATTGCCATGCCCAGTGTGAATCAAAGACCCGTGCCTTTTGAAAAGACGTAAATATCATTAACGTCGTCTCAGAAGCCTCACGCTTCACCATTGAAGATAATCGCTTTTGAGTAACTTACAAGATTTTAAAGTTTGAAATTTGCTTCGAAAAGTATGTTAGTTATAATATGGATGATGACTATTTTTTTTCTTCGTTTTATCAGGTAGATTATCAAAAAGTATTGGACACGTTTTTTTTCTTTTTACACGTAATATAAACATTGCAGAGATATATTGATTTGAAAAGTCGCATGATTTCACGTTTTGGTACAATTTTCACTTAAAAGTGACGTCACGAGCCCCTACTCCCAAATTTTGTCATTTTTTGGTTAATTGCCCAAAGAAAAAATACGTGTCCATTAGTTTTTGATCATCTAACTGACGGACTTCATAGAATTTCGTTTACTGTACCCCGTCATCACCCCTATTGGTTCGAGGAAAATGATGCCCATTTTGTACCTGAAAGGGTCACACATATACATTTACAATTTAATTTGAAAGTACAAATAGATGTGTTCCGGGACCAATAGCTGACTATTGGTACCGGAATGCATCTGTGAGTATTCTGGAAGGATTACATGTTTCACCTATAAAGATAATAATCACTTTAGAGAAACAAATCAGATTTTATTTGCTTTAAAAGTGAGTTAACTTATTGGTGCTGGTTGGTATCTGTGGTTCTTACTTCATAAACATAGACTCTTTAAGTCTAGTCCAACCTCTTTCGACTTTCTCGTAATTGTTGAAAGCACGGCATCTGTGGTCCATGCTTCATAAACAAAGACTCTTTAAGTCTAGTCCAACCTCTTTCGACTTTCACCTAATTGCTGAATGCACGGCATCTGTAGTCCTTGATTCATAAACAAAGACTCTTTAAGTCTAGTCCTACCTCTTTCGACTTTCTCCTTATTGCTGAATGCACGGCATCTGTGGTCCTTGCTTCATAAACAAAGACTCTCTAAGTCTAGTCCAACCTCTTTCGACTTTCTCGTAATTGCTGAATGCACGGCATCTGTGGTCCTTGCTTCATAAACAAAGACTCTCTAAGTCTAGTCCAACCTCTTTCGACTTTCTCGTAATTGCTGAAGGCACGGCATCTGTGGGCCTTGCTTCATAAACAAAGACTCTTTAAGTCTAGTCCAACCTCTTTCGACTTTCTCGTATTTGCTAAAGGCACGCCCTTTAAATTTTGGTACCTACTTACCGTGCCCCAGTTTAATTTAATATTTTATTTTGTTATCTTGGACACAGTAACTCTATCCAAACCACAATGTACGATGATTTTGTTCGGTTTTGATAAGAATTATCGGTCACATGTTCATTGGTAAAGTTATTGTTTCTGTTAAAAGCGAATAATAAGCGGAATATAGGCACGGGTTTTTGATTGAGAAGAATTCCAACCTGACTCTATTGTTCAAAGGAGCTCGATGACGTAGACGGTCAGCACGTTCGGCCTGCGATCGTGGAGTTTAAGTTACTTTCGCAATGGTCGGTCATTGGATGGGTGACCAAAAACTTAATATCTCGTGCTCCTCCGTGCTTTGTATAGGCATGTTAAGTCGTTGGTCCCGGCTGCTTCTGCAGTGCTTCCCACCAATTCGCATCATGGCCCAATCTCCGTATTTCATCCATAGGGAAGGCGTGCCCCAGCAGTAGGGACATTGATTGGCTGATGATGATGATGACGACTATTGTTCGTATTGCAGATTCAGTGGGAAGGCGCGGTGCCACCCGGCTCTCTAGTTTAGGTTCGGGATCGCTGCACTCGCCCCGACGCAGCTCTGAAGATTCCGCAGATGACACCTTTAGCATCAAGGACCTTAGGGTAATAGAGCAAACCACATAATGCTTCTTATTTCTCTATAATTACTTAACAGGAAGTTGTCAAATTATTTCCATATATACAAATTATAAAAAAAAGGTTGGTCCTTCGAGCTGGAGCTAGCGAAGAATAATTTAAAAACTATCGCGCGACGGTGGAACCTGGAAGGGAGCCAAAATCTCAAGAATAATGTAAAATAATTAAAAGTGCTCTTTGAACCCCTTGAAAATAATGAATGGTGTGCGTGAAATATGAAATATTTATTTATTTTAATTTTTATTTCTTCAGCATGAACTGAAAGAAGTTGAGGAGAAGTTCCGAAAGGCGATGATATTGAACGCGCAGCTTGACAACGACAAGGCCGCGCTCGGGTACCAGCTCGAACTGCTCAAGGACCGGATAGAGGAGTTGCACGAAGAGTACGCGCAGCTGCAGGTCAGACCTGAAATCTTGTATACTTAACAATTTTTTTTACGTGATAACGACTTATAAATCGATAAACACCGGCTGCACGCACGAAACAGTGTGACGTCATGTTACGAGTCGCATCATGGAGGTTAGAGAGAGGGAGAACGATCGCTGTAGAAAATAGTGTCCCAGAAATATGGACAAAATAAGTGAGGCGCTGCGATCGCTAAGTTGTCTCAATAAAAACGGGTTAATTTGAAATGACCAATGCCGCGAAGAATATTTGTACTATATTCAACTAACTTCATTTACTTGTACTCATAAACAGCTAACTTTACAGATACTACTTACCGACGGCAGCGCGGCTGGTGGCCGAAAAGTGAACTATAAATTTTACAATTTTTTAAGGCAGGCGGGCTAATTCTTTAGTACGTAGCGATCGTTCTCTTTCTCTCTAACAGCCATGAGTCACATTATGTAACGTCCATTTTATAAGTACACGGTTATATTGCAGCGCGAGCACAGGGAGAAGTGTTCCGCGCACGAGCGTCTGAAGCGCGAGCACGCATCGCTGGAGCGGGAGGTGATGGCCGCGCGGGACGCGGTGCGGGCCCGGGACGCGGCCGCCGCGCATGCGGGATACGCTTTCGTGGACGCGGCCTGCGCACCGCAAGCCAACGGGGTCAACGGCCTCGCCGACGGGGAGGACAGCGCGCCCGGGTTCGGGTCAGTGCCGCCACTGGCGCTGGTGTCGCACCAGTCCGAGCAGATGTTGAACGAAGCTGGTGAAGGAACGTTAGGTGAGTTTGGCTGTATGTATGGTCAGGCGGGCTACATCTTCGTGGACGTAGTGTGTGCACTGGAAGCCAACGGGGTCAACGGCCTCGCCGACGGGGAGGACAGCGCGCCCGGGTTCGGATATATGCCGCCGGTGGCGCTGGTGTCGCTCAGTGCGAGCAGATGTTGAACGAAGCTGGTGAAGGAACGTTAGGTAAGTCACTACAGCTTCTAACGAGCTGTGAGTGCGTCTGAAGCCCGAGCACTTGTCGCTGGAGCGGGAGGTTATGGCCGCGCGGGACGCGCTTTCGTGGATGCGGCCCGTGCACCGCAAGCCAACGGAGTCAACGGCCTCGCCGACAGGGAGGACAGCGCGCCCGGGTTCGGGTCTGTGCCGCCGCTGGCGCTGGTGTCGCACCAGTCCGAGCAGATGTTGAACGAAGCTGGTGAAGGAACGTTAGGTAAGTCACTACGGCTTCTAACGAGCTGTGAGTGCGTCTAAAGCGCGAGCGCTCGTCGCTAGAGCGGCAGGTGATGGCCGCCGCGCACGCGGGATACGCCTTCGAGGACGCGGCCTGCGCACCGCAAGCCAACGGGGTCAACGGCCTCGCCGACGGGGAGGACAGCGCGCCCGGGTTCGGGTATGTGCCGCCGCTGGCGCTGGTGTCGCACCAGTCTGAGCAGATGTTGAACGAAGCTGGTGAAGGAACGTTAGGTGAGTTTGGCTGTATGTAAGGTCACGCGGGCTACGCCTTCGTGGATGCGGCCTGCGCACCGCAACCCAACGGGGTCAACGGCTTCGCCGACGGGGAGGACAGCGCGCCCGGGTTCGGGTCTGTGCCGCCACTGGCGCTAGTGTCGCACCAGTCCGACCAGATGCTTAACGAAGCTGGTGAAGGAGCGTTAGGTACGTCACTACTGCTTCTAACGAGCTGTGAGTGCGTCTGAAGGGCGAGCACGCATCGCTGGAGCGGGAGGTGATTGCCGCCGCGCACGTGGGCTACGCCTTCGTGGACGCTGCCTGCGTACTGCAACCCAACGGTGTCAACGGCCTCGCCGACGGGGAAGACAGCGCGCTCGGGTGCGGGTCTGTGCCGCCGCTGGCGCTGGTGTCGCATCAGTCCGAGCAGATGTTGAACGAAGCTGATGAAGGAACGTTAGGTGAGTTTGGCTGTATGTAAGGTCACGCGGGCTACATCTTCGTGGACGTAGTGTGTGCATTGCAAGCCAACGGGGTCAACGGCCTCGCCGACGGGGAGGACAGCGCGCCCGGGTTCGGGTCTGTGCCGCCGCTGGCGCTGGTGTCGCACCAGTCCGAGCAGATGTTGTACGAAGCTGGTGAAGGAACGTTAGGTGAGTTTGACTGTATGTAAGGTCACGCGGGCTACATCTTCGTGGATATAGTGTGTGCACCGCAAGCCAACGGGGTCAACGGCCTCGCCGACGGGGAGGACAGCGCGCCCGGGTTCGGGTCAGTACCGCCGCTGGCGCTGGTGTCGCACCAGTCCGAGCAGATGTTGAACGAAGCTGGTGAAGGAACGTTAGGTGAGTTTGGCTGTATGTAAGGTCACGCGGGCTACATCTTCGTGGACGTAGTGTGTGCACCGCAAGCCAACGGGGTCAACGGCCTCCCTGATGGGGAGGACAGCCCGAGCAGATTTGGTTCTGTACCACCGACCCCGGATGACCCCGATTTACCGGGGCTCCACTGTATAAGCGATTTTAATAAATTTGGAAAGTACCTTATTCCTTAAACTAAATAAGTATCTTTTGTTCTCGCAGACGTCCGGTTGCAGAAGCTCTTATCATCGAAGCTGGCGCTAGAGTCGGAGGTCCGCAAACTGAAGCTGCAACTGAACGAGGAACGAGCTGCGACCCACAACGGAGTGCACTCGCTGCACGACCAGGAATACGAGAACGAGCGTCAGTATCTTCTTGCTAGAATCGTTTCCGCAATTCGATTTCGTGTGACGTCAGAAGGCCTACTTTATTTCAAGGAAAAACGAAATTTCACACGTTCCTTACTCTGTTTCTTTTTATTACTGCTCATCATCATCAACCCATGTTCGTCCACTGCTGGACATAGGTCTGCCCTAATGCACGCCACTACTCCCGATTTTGTGCTACTCTCATCCAGCCCCAGCCAGCCTACGAATATCATAAAATATGAACGTCAAAAGAAAGAAACTGGTGAAACAGCGGATGCACTCCCTCGCACTAAAAGTGCACCTTGCTAACATCCGAGGATTGCACTCAAATATCGATAGTGTCCATCACCACCTTGAGACCGATAAACCACATCTGCTGTTCCTCACGGAGACTCAAATACGATGCCCGACTGACGCAGCTTACTTGCATTACCCAGGTTACATCCTGGAGCACAATTTTAAATCGCGCGCTGGCACCTGCGTGTATGCTCGTGATGACATCTGCTGCCAACGTCTCCGCAACCTTGAGGATCCCAGTTTCTCTACATTATGGGTGCTGGTGAACACAGGTATAGAGCAAATACTCTATGCCAGTGTTTATCGGTCGCACACAGAGAACATGGAGACAACCAGGTTTTTTCAGTACCTCAGCGCCTCCGCTGAAACAGCCCAGCAAAGGTACCCGAGTGCGCAGCTAGTCGTTCTGGGGGACTTTAACGCGCACCACCATGAGTGGTTGTTCCCGTTCCAGAAAACCGACCATGCCGGGAGATTAGCGCACACATTTGCTATGTCGCTAGGTCTCTCCCAGCTTGTGAAGGGCGCTACACGAGTACCCGATATTGATAGCCACACACCAAACTGCCTGGACCTTCTGCTGTCAACAGACCCGGACCGTTACCAGGTGGTAATTTCGTCTCCTCTAGGGAGTTCCGACCACTGTCTGGTGAAGTCCGTATCAGTCTACTCTCCAAGCGACCCGGAACCTATCGGAACTAGGCGTGTTTGGCGATATGGTTCAGCAGACTGGGATGAGATGCGGCATTTCTTTGCATCTTATCCTTGGCGTCGCACCTGCTTTTCTTCGGACGACCCGACTTGCTGCGCGGATGCCATTGCTGACGTGGTGCGTCAGGCTATGGAGTACTTTATTCCATATTCTGACGTACCACGCCGGTTTAGCGCCCGCCCTTGGTTTGGCGCGGACTGTGCTAAAGCAGAGGCGCTTAAGCATTTTGCGTATCGCTCCTGGGCGGATGCTCGAGCCCGCAAATCACCAAATGTTCGAGGTCTGAAGAAAGCCTTTAACAGTGCCGCCAAGTCCTGTAAATGTGTTCTCCGCAAGGCCCGCTTCGATCACATTGGCCGTATAGGAGCCAAATTAGCCTCCTTTCCATCCGGAAGCAAGGCTTTCTGGTCCCTAGCCAAAACAGTCGAAGCCAATTTTTGCCGGTCGTCGCTGCCGCCTTTAAATAAACCTGACGGATCGCTGGCTCACACCTCCAAAGAGAAGGCTGACTTGTTTGCCTCTATATTTGCGAATAACTCACGGCTAGATGCTGCTGGCGTAAACCCACCTAAGCTTCCTCAGTGTTCTTCTGCCATGTTGGAAGTTCGCATCCATCAGAAAGAGGTCCTAAAAACGCTAAGCACTCTAGACGTGAATAAAGCCAGTGGGCCCGATGGCATTCCAGCTATTGTCCTGCGGAATTGTGCCCCTGAGTTGTCTCCTATTCTGACTCGCCTATATCGCTTATCCCTTGAGATTGGCCAAGTTCCGAAAACCTGGAAGCTTGCTAATGTCCAACCAGTGCCCAAAAAGGGTAGTCGTGCCGACCCTGCCAACTATCGACCTATTGCAATCACCTCCATACTCTGTAAGATTATGGAGCGTGTATTGAACAACCGTCTCCTCGCTTACCTCGAAGATAACGATCTCCTCAGTGACTGCCAATTCGGTTTCCGCCGTGGGCGATCTACTGGGGATCTTCTTGTGTATGCTACCCACTTATGGAGTGAAGCCATAGAGAAACGCGGCGAAGCTCTCGCCGTTTCTCTTGATATTTCTAAGGCTTTTGACAGGGTCTGGCATGCAAGTCTCATTGGCAGGCTTCCTTCATATGGAATCGCTGTCGGACTTTGCAACTGGATTGCAGATTTTCTGGGGGGCAGATCGATACGAGTGGTCATTAATGGCACATCGTCGGATTTGCTTGGTATTAATGCCGGTGTCCCCCAGGGATCTGTCCTCTCCGCAACTCTATTCTTGCTGCACATCAATGATCTGCTCCTAACTCCTGGTATCTTTGGGTATGCAGATGACAGCACAGTTTCGGGGAGATATCTGCCTGATGTGAAGTCTGATGCAGATGTCCGATCATTAAGGGAGGCGATGGTGGAGGGAGTGAATGCAACCCTGGAAGCTGTTTCCCTCTGGGGTGAAGCCAACTTGGTTGGATTCAATCCCTCTAAAACACAGGCCTGTCTCTTCTCGACGAAACGGAGTCCATTCCATCTGACTCCGACTTTCCGAAATGTCTCCGTGCCGGTTAAAGACCATCTCGAGCTCTTGGGTATGGACATCTCATCCAGCCTCAATTTCGGTCACTACATCGAGTCCATTGCTAAAACCGCTGCCAGAAAACTTGGAATACTTTCTAAGGTCAGGCGATATTTTACATCTGAGCAGCTCCTTAACCTTTACCGAGCCCAAGTTCGCTCCTGCTTGGAGTACTGTTGTCACCTTTGGGACGGATCTGCTCGGTATCAGCTGGATGCACTGGACTCGGTGGAACACCGTGCGAAGAGACTCATAGGCAATGACGCTCTCGTTGAGGCTAATCTTCAGAGCCTCGACCACCGAAGACGTGTAGCTTGCCTTTCGGTGTTTTATCGGTTACATTTCGGAGAGTGTGCGGAGGTATTACATAATTTGATCCCCCCTTCCCCTTTCCACCACCGGACGACCAGGCGCGGCGAGGGCTTCCACCCTTATGTTGTCGAAGTTCCTCCTATTCGCACGAAGCGATTTGCTTCGGCCTTCATTATACGAACGGCTAGGGAGTGGAACTCCTTGCCGAGGTCTGTTTTCCCGGACCAATATAACCTGGACATCTTCAAGGCCAGAGTGAACAGGCATCTTCTAGGCAGGCGTGTACCATCCTAGGCCTCATCATCGCTTTCCATCAGGTGAGATTGTGGTCAAACGCATTGCCTATTTAGCATAAAAAAAAAAAAAAAAAAAAAAAAAATCATAATCCTACGCTAATTGGTGTGTTTAAAAAAAAGTCCTGAGAAATGTTATCGCGGCAACTTCAAAATTAAATTTTTGAATTAGTTTTTATAATGAAATACACAAGAGAATGACGAATATCCATGTCGTATCTTTTTATGGGCGCCATAAACATTAATAAATAACGTGAGATCATTTTCTAAAACTTGTCTAATACCCTATTGCTGAGGTCTAAGTACTTTTAGACAGACAGCTCCGTAACGTATTGCATCGTCAAATAAATGATAACAAGCAGCGCCCCTATCGGACGTAAGAGCAAACTAGCTTTTTCCACACAAAATTTACGATTACGATACTTTGCGGAGCTGTCAAAACTCTGGTGTAGTGCGGCTGTGCGCTCGCGGATTTAACTGACAAACCAGCTTAGCGGTATCGGGATGTTTGGTTTGGGACCTGTTGGGGTCATATTAGATCCCTTTCGGACCAGGTCATCTGTAGCGTGGTTTTCGCCTCGGTGTCTACATTACATACAGTAGGCCCATTCCCTAACTGCTTTTGAGATATGAAAATGATAATCATCGAGCTATTTTGTGATCCACTAATACTTTATTATAACGCCACTAAGATACTTGTTTTAAAAGCATCGATAGATATGCTTTTTGTTTTTATTTTTTTTAAATGGCAGCAAAGTAAGCAATACAGGTTCAGCCGGCAGTATTACGAGAACGAGTTTAATCATTATGGCTTATTTAACCCTCGCCTTTGTATCTATAGGCCGCTGGTTCAAATCCGGCTCGAAGGGCCAGTTTGTACATTTTATTGAGCACCTACAAGAAAATAAAGTGGAATATAAGTGAAACCGTACATTATCATATGAAAGTTGACTGAAGAAACTTTTTTAATTATTGCCTATTGTCACTTCAATAAAGTCCTGGCAGGACTCGTGCACTTTTTTCTTTAGTAGATAATAATAATATAATATTATCAATAATATATAAATAATATAATTTTGACGTTATTCAATATTGTGTGTTCAGTTGAAACGTTACGACGTTGCGTGTCGGAAGCGAAAGCGCGCGCGGCGCGAGCGGAAGCCGAGGCGGCGCTCCAGGGGGCCGCCGTCGCCAGGCTCGAGGCGCAAGTGGCCAGGCTGCGGGCCCGCCAGGACCATCAGGACGAGCACGAGGAGCAGCTCAAGCTCGAGCGGCGCAGGCTGCAGCGCGAGGTGAGTGTGAGCCACTGAGGGAGGCGCGAGGGGCGCGGCCAGGGTCCGCCAGGACCATCAGGACGAGCACGAGGAGCAGCTCAAGCTCGAGCGGCGCAGGCTGCAGCGCGAGGTGAGTGTGAGCCACTGAGGGAGGCGCGAGGGGCGCGGCCAGGGTCCGCCAGGACCATCAGGACGAGCACGAGGAGCAGCTCAAGCTCGAGCGGCGCAGGCTGCAGCGCGAGGTGAGTGTGAGCCACTGAGGGAGGCGCGAGGGGCGCGACCAGGGCCCGCCAGGACCATCAGGACGAGCACGAGGAGCAGCTCAAGCTCGGCGGCGCAGGCTGCAGCGCGAGATGAGTGTGAGCCATTGAGGGAGGCGCGAGGGGCGCGACCAGGGCCCGCCAGGACCATCAGGACGAGCACGAGGAGCAGCTCAAGCTCGAGCGGCGCCGGCTGCAGCGCGAGGTGAGTGTGAGCCACTGAGGGAGGCGCGTGGGGCGCGACCAGGGCCCGCCAGGACCATCAGGACGAGCACGAGGAGCAGCTCAAGCTCGGCGGCGCAGGCTGCAGCGCGAGATGAGTGTGAGCCATTGAGGGAGGCGCGAGGGGCGCGACCAGGGCCCGCCAGGACCATCAGGACGAGCACGAGGAGCAGCTCAAGCTCGGCGGCGCAGGCTGCAGCGCGAGGTGAGTGTGAGCCACTGAGGGAGGCGCGAGGGGCGCGACCAGGGCCCGCCAGGACCATCAGGACGAGCACGAGGAGCAGCTCAAGCTCGGCGGCGCAGGCTGCAGCGCGAGATGAGTGTGAGCCATTGAGGGAGGCGCGAGGGGCGCGACCAGGGCCCGCCAGGACCATCAGGACGAGCACGAGGAGCAGCTCAAGCTCGGCGGCGCAGGCTGCAGCGCGAGGTGAGTGTGAGCCACTGAGGGAGGCGCGAGGGGCGCGACCAGGGCCCGCCAGGACCATCAGGACGAGCACGAGGAGCAGCTCAAGCTCGGCGGCGCAGGCTGCAGCGCGAGATGAGTGTGAGCCATTGAGGGAGGCGCGAGGGGCGCGACCAGGGCCCGCCAGGACCATCAGGACGAGCACGAGGAGCAGCTCAAGCTCGAGCGGCGCCGGCTGCAGCGCGAGATGAGTGTGAGCCATTGAGGGAGGCGCGAGGGGCGCGACCAGGGCCCGCCAGGACCATCAGGACGAGCACGAGGAGCAGCTCAAGCTCGAGCGGCGCCGGCTGCAGCGCGAGGTGAGTGTGAGCCACTGAGGGAGGCGCGAGGGGCGCGACCAGGGCCCGCCAGGACCATCAGGACGAGCACGAGGAGCAGCTCAAGCTCGGCGGCGCAGGCTGCAGCGCGAGATGAGTGTGAGCCATTGAGGGAGGCGCGAGGGGCGCGACCAGGGCCCGCCAGGACCATCAGGACGAGCACGAGGAGCAGCTCAAGCTCGAGCGGCGCCGGCTGCAGCGCGAGATGAGTGTGAGCCATTGAGGGAGGCGCGAGGGGCGCGACCAGGGCCCGCCAGGACCATCAGGACGAGCACGAGGAGCAGCTCAAGCTCGAGCGGCGCCGGCTGCAGCGCGAGGTGAGTGTGAGCCACTGAGGGAGGCGCGAGGGGCGCGACCAGGGCCTAGATTGTCACAGTTTGACAACCTCCTTGGCCGAGTGGTTTGTACGCCGGGTTTAAGGTGTCACCTACTCAAAGTCCCGCGTTCGAATCCCGGTGGAGACAGATATTTGTGTGATGAATTCGAGCATTTGTACTCCAGTCATGGGTATTAATATGTATTTCTATATAAATACTTATATATGTATCAGTATATGTATTCTCCGTTACCCTAGCTATGCTATAACACAAGCCTTGCAGTGCTTACTTTGGGGCTAGACTAATTGATGTGAGTGTTGTAAATATTTATTTATTTGTAGACCTTCAATGGTATGTGCAATACAATAGTGTCACGATTTCTCGTCAATAGAAATCGTAATATTACGTCAAGCTTCGTATCAACTGAATGTTCATCACTCCGCCGAGTATTATTATTATTTTCAATTTTTAGGTGAGAAAAAATTTATGATTGATTGATTATCATGTTTTGAATCGGTCTCTTCTACATGTATCATGTACTAAATTCAAAATAGTCACAACATCAACTTGTAGAAGATCATCGTGAAAACGAAGCAATAAAATGTAAAGCCACAACCGACTCCATGTTGGCATGTTACCAAATCGTTGAGTTAGATGATAGATTTAATACAATCATACGCTAGATATCTTATACTAGATATATCAAGTACTAACGGGTGTCTGCGACTTCGTCTGCGTGATTTATTTGGTTTGAAATACAAAGTTTATCCCTTATTTAACCCTCTTTAAGTTTTATTTTCACAAAAGATTAACCTATAATCGTAATTCAGGATTTCACCTACCTCTATACCATAATTCAGCATAATCGATTCAGTTGCTTAGGTGTCACCGCGTAACAAATAAACTCACTTTGGCATTTATAATATTAAGATTAGTTAGGATATTGTGATTTGTTTTCAGGAAGTCGTTGACTTCTGGGCCGTTATCAATAATGGCGACAGCTAACGGTACAGTGGAACACCGCGTGTCCCTCCCGCCGCCACTAAAATACTTTTAATACGTGCCCCTTCCTAATCAATGTTTAAACTCGTATGAATCAAGTCGCCTGGCTAACTCATATCATTCCTAAGTTAAACAGGCGGAATGTAATAATCTAATAATATAGTGTTAACCGAACTGTATATATAACTCTCCCATGTGTCGTTATTAATTCATCGACAGTTGCCGGTTGTGCGGATAAAACATTGCAATATATCTCGCCCCATTGTTCACGTCAGATGAAGCGATATGAAAAGTGAAAACTGTATCCACCTTATAACAAAACGTAGACTAAAGTTAAACCTGGCTAAAATTAATGCTGTCACTTTTGTTTGCTGGAAATAAGACAGAGACAACATTAGTTTTAACCCCAGACTAAATTTAGTCCGCGTTTTGGAATAAGGTGGTATAAGACTATTCAATATTCAACGCGATAAAAGATTCTGTAGCTGCGTTCATAAATTGCGTCTGATCAATAATGATCGTCTCGGAGTCAGGGCTTGAAACCGGTTTCGAAAATACCGGTAAATAAAGGTTAAAACCGGTTTTTAGTAAAGGTTTCGTTCGGAGCGCGTCCGAAATGAAAGCGGTACCTAAAACCTTAATAAACCGATTTAATGGAATCGCTTGAAGTTTGTTTTGTTTGAACTAATCAATCAATTATGAAACTATCCGTCTGACACACTACTTCACTCACTCGCTCTGTAGTTGGAAAGAAACTGACATAAAATCATTATAAATTTGAATTGAAACGGCGAAGGCGATGCCGTCAGTAAGAGCGAAATGAAACCCTTTAAAAACCGCCAAATTGATTCAAAACCTATTTGATTTCGCTTTTTAGGAAAACCGGTTTTTTAAGGTTGAGGTAGAGCCAAACCTAAATAAAACGCTCCTAGTGTACTTGACACTGATATGGGTTTGAAAATTAACCGGTAAATAAGCCCTGCTCGGAGTATGTCGACCGACAAGAAAGATTAATCTCGTTAACTGTCTTGTTTCTGTCATGTTGTGAGGTTAGCTTCTGTTTTAGGTTAGAATTTAATCTACGGTTGGTCGCGCCGTTCGTTAAAAGCAATTTGCTCAGATTAATCTGTGATCACGTGACTAGAAATCCGTCGCATCTGCGATGCAAATACCGAACGTAGCTTGTGGTTTATACACGTAGTTCGCTGTCGTCTAATGAGACTCTTGTGGACAGTTTTAATTATTATCAATCTCCTTTTGTAGTTGCCTTTTTTTGTGACTGGAAAATGCCTTACGCGTTCTTCAACCACTGAGGGAGCGAGAAGAAGGTATGTGGGACTCCCCCTTCAGCTAGCCCTGGAGTTAGCTGAAGTGAACGGGGGGCCATTCGCCTAACGGTAATGCTTTGGAAAACGCTAACGCTTTCGATTTCTTTTTTTTATTTCTGACCGCCGAAGGTTTTCAAATACCTCATGCTTATTTTCTTTTATATTATTATAACCAATGCAAAAGAAAAAAAAGAGCGCGAGGCATTTGAAAACCTCAGGCGGCTAGAAATAACAAAATGAAATCGTAAGCGTTAGCCTTTTCAATAGTATTTCCGTTAGGCGAATGGCCCCTAGGGCCCTACCTACGCCCTGAACTGGACCACTAAAAACCAGACAATACTCCTGCACCGTCACTCGACACGCACTATGAGGACCGCGGTTCCTCTAGTGCGTGCCTAGAGGGCGGGTGTAGTCGCGGAACCCGTCTCCGAATGGCCGCGCATTGTTGTAGTTACCTAGAAAAAGACTTTTGTGAATTACTTCAAAATGGTAACTACTGCTAACAGACGTAACTAGAATAAGCTTATATTCTTGCCGAGGTATTAGCACGAATTCTGACAGCTCTCTAATCGTATCGCATCGTTAAAGTTTCAATGAAAACTCAGCAGCGCCCCTATCGGACGTAAGAACAAACTTTTTCCATACATATTTTGAAGTTGACGATACGATTACGGAGCTGTCAAAATTCGTGCTTTGGCCTCCGGTTACTGAAACTGGCCGTTAGGCAGCCTCACTAAGTATGTTGAATATTGTATAATCTAATACGGTATTTTCACATTTTCGAGTAAACACGTGACCTTACTACTTAGAAAATGACAAAATGAAGCATTCGACTTTTGGACTCAACTATTAAGGTTGAAAATCATTAAATTTTGGAGAATTTCAACAGTTATCCACAAATAGTCTGCTGTGTACAAGCAACGTATTCATTCTCTCCGTTGCACGTTGCAATGTTTTATCCGCCTAACGTAAGTCTGAGTCGCACGGTTTACCGCACTACACGTTTTTACCAATCAAAAAAGTCTAATTTAGGCGTACAAGCATCGATTTATCATAATACAATAAAACGTGTTGTGCAAAACCATCTGAACATGCGTAAGAGTTGAACCTCAATGCTATATGCACTGAACAGTACAACATAGAACTGTATCGGGTAGTAGCAATATTTTTTATTAAGCATATTAATAAAAGATAACATGCTTTGCAAAATTTTACAAATCAATTGTCGTTAATACCTGGTAGTTTAGAAGGGAAAGCATTTTATAATATGAGAATGATAAACTTCAATTGTTATAAGCGTCCCAAGTGGGAAAGAGATAGCAAGCAGTGGTAAAAACCTTTTGCACCTATTTTATCGAACATGCATAAAATGAGGTTCATCTCTTCATTAAAAAAAATACAAAGACACATACCCAGAAAAAAATACTATTTTGACGAATGGCAACATCGATTTGCATGGTGTACATAGACTAAAGACCCTTTGCTTGTTTGCCATGCTGCGTCTACGTTAATAGATACTGGTATTTCAACTATTGCTCGTGTTATAGGCTCGGGAAGCCCTGAATCGCGTCGAAGAGTTGGAGACAGAGAACAGTCACCTCACCAAACGGCTCGACAAATTGAAGAACGCCAAGTCTGCGCTACTCAAGGAGCTGTGACACCCCTGGCCTTACCCCTTCTACGATTCTTTGGTTTACCGCGACGCTTCGATAGAAATAGATAAGTATGCATCGAGACTGTGTAATGCAACCGATTTAATGTAAAAACGCATAAACCAATCACCCAAATAAAAATAATGTGAGGGTAATAAGATTTAACAAAAAATATCAAATTTCTGCTCTGTTCCGTATCTTATCAAAGGAGCGACGATTTATGAAGGAAAGTGTTCAATGCAAAATTTTATTTCAAATGCTAGTCTCGTTTAGGTCTGATTGAAATGACGGTGAGTGTATTTACAGGCGAAGTTGGCGGTGGTCTCTATTAAGCGATAACCAATCGTTCTCCATTTCTAGGATTGTAAGATACTGCATGTATTAACCTGTTTGTATGAGGAACGTAAGCTTAGCAAGGGCAAAAGATTTTCATTATACCTTTTTCGGTACTCCATAATACTTTTCAATAGGGTGTTTGACAAGTTTTAGAAACGTTCTCACGTTATTAACTAATGTTTATGGAGTCCGTATTTAGTGGATATTCATCATTCGGTTTTTTTTTATTTTAGTAAAAAGATAAATAAAAAAGTCAATTTCCAAGTAGCCGCGAAAACGTTTCTTTTGACATTATGGCGTTTTACTAGTATCTGACGTCACACGACTGTCAATTAAACTGTCATCAATTAGTAAAATGTAATATTACATTGACCGGAAGTTTACTAGCGTGTGACGTCATTTTAGTCTTCACCAATTGCAGTCGTTTTCGGTCACTTGATCATAGACCAAAAAATTACCTCTGTTCAATGATTTTTTAGAAAAGTCATTAATTATTATTTGTTCTCTCAGAATAGTTAAGTTGCTGCTAATAATAAATTGAAATACGGATGCCAACAATTGGTACTTTATTTTTCATGCTGTCAAAAAGCCTATTGAGATAGTATTGGAGATTATTTAAAATGCGCACACTACTATATTAAATCAATAAAAAGTGAAAAATAAGTAGATTATGCCACCTGCAAATTAGCAAATTTCATACTAGTGTTATCGAACTGGTTTAACTTTTAAGAAACATTAACTGCTATTAATAAACGAGGAACACGCTTAGTCTAGTTACGCCGTGTTTTGTTTATTTCTTTCAATAAACAGAGACAAAACATGCAGTAACTAATCCAAGCGTAGTCCTCGTTTATTAATAAGGAGGTATGTGTAATAAGAGGTATTGTTGTTGATTCTGGCTTGAATCTCTAAACCTAAAACTAAATTTAACATAAGTCTCTCCTTTTCATTCTGTATAAAGAGTGACAAGGATACACTGCTGTCAAATTTGAGTTTACGTTTAGAGAATCATGCCATAATCGACACCATTAGTCGAAATATTGGGTTTCAATTGATTAGTGCAAAAATGTAATAAGGTCACATGTTACTTATAAACTAATATCGGATTGAACTGATATGTCAACGATAGGTCGCAATGTACTGTATTGTAACTGATAGGCGTAGCGGTAAATATATGATATGTTGCCTAGTATTATATATACCCCATTTTGAATATAAATATAGTCGCCTTACCTCGTAAGATAGCCATGTTTTAGGTACCTTCGTAAAATAAATTGAAAAAAGTAAATAAAAAAATTGTATCTTAACCGTCAGCATTTGTTAATTTCATTCCTTGCGTCCACCACGGACTTACAAAACTCAAGCATTTTTTTTAAACTGAAATAATACAATTTTTATAATAATTTTCAAAGTTATGGTATAGGATTGATGATGCAGAATAGCCTTGACTTTGATTTTTTCAATTTAAACTGTAAAGTCCTCTATACACAGGCGTAGAAGCGGATTTAGTTTCGCTTTTTATTTTTTTATACAAATGACATATGGCAACGAAAAAATTATAATTGAATAAACTTATAAATACTTTGTGAATAAAGAAAGTAGCATTGTTTGCAAAATCAGGTTATATGTAATTTCAACAAAAGTTATCTCATAGACATACTGGTTGAGCGTCTATCACTCAATATGCGTAAGCATTTTTTCGGCCAAACAATTTCTGCATTGAGTGATGCTGTAAAAACAATCTTTTACTGATTCTTCAACACCTGCTCGATATTATCGAGCCGCAATAAAAAAACCTGATGTTTATTAACCACACTTATCCCAAGTCGAACGCGTCGAATGCAACCATGTCAAGGAGCACATTATACGCACCGAATGAACAGAATGCAACGAAATAATTGTTTTACTAACTTCCATTTTCGACCCTGTGGCACTGTTATTACAGGTCATTGGGCAAAATGCAAGCGCAGCGCTCGGTTTAACCGCATCGCCAAGCCTTAACTGATGACGACATCCCAATTTTGTCTAGAATTACTATGTTTCTTCTTTCATAGGTTTCATTTAAAAAAATCGTTTCGTTCGGCTCGTATAAGTGTGCGGTCACCATTAATTTATTATAATCTTATTTCAATAATGACCATGTGAAAGTGATTTCAGACTATGCACTACGATATTAGACTACCTATTCTACAAAAAAACGATAAAGAGTGCTGTTTTCCGATTGGGTGCATGTTCATACTGTACTTTAAAAAATGTGTATTTTTATATTCCATTGCATAGTCTGAAATAAGCTTAAATTTGGGTTGTGTTTATAAATTATGATATATAACCATAATAATAATTTAACTGTTAATCGCTTAATTAATTAATTTTGTAAAAATATATTGTGTATAATTTAAAGAGTATTTTATTAATAAATATAATTATTTATTTGACATCCTTATAAATAATAGGAGGCATGATTATGTTGGTATTTTTATAGGCTTTATTGATAAGAGGTTGATGTAACTTGCCGATGACTGTATATATGTTGATTAGTATCTTTGTGTTATATCCTTGCCATTGGTATCACAAACTAAAATTTTAAGTTGCGAGTTTTCCTACTGGAAGTTATTATTTTATGCTATTGAACTACACCAACATAAAATGTTAAGCTAACACTTTTATGAAATAAATATATAATGTGATTGCTCAAAAATGTATTGCAGTGAATGTGATAGATAGATGCGTGCGCATGAAAACGTCCATTATTAACTAGGTGAGCGGTCAGGTGTATTTTTATATTTTTTTTTGAGTAGTAATAATACGTAAAATTTCTCTTCGCATTGGAAAGTTACCACATTCGTTCTAATTAGTACTGTTCTATAACTATGATCGGCATTTATTAACTTACTTTTTATGCATAATCGATTCAACGTTAACTTGTTTCTTCGCTCTCCATAACATGACTTGTGTTGTATTGTGATCATAGAACGACGCGGCCGCCACGGCCAAGAGGGGAGTTGCCATTTACACCGTTGATTTTACCCCGCTGTTCTGCCAGCACAAAAACAAAACTAGTCGCGCGTCTGATATTTCACTAGACTGAGTCGGGTCGCGCGAGTGTATGTTAAATATCAAAAATGCCAAAATGTTAAGTAATTTGCTGTAAAACATATCTTGAATATTAAACTTACAAAAGGGTGGTGTTAAATTTTACATAGAAGTAGAATTATGAACATATTATTTCTATTTAACTAATTTTAAACACAAAATTCATATTATTCTGTTAAAATTCAATCGTCGGACTTGTTTGACAAAACAATCGAAACGTGCGCCCGTAAAATTTCAGATCTGTCAATAAAAAATCTTGAGTTTCTATTATATCTATACCAGATATAGCGCTGTCATTTTTTATGTGTGTTTTTTGTGAAATTATGTTGGACTGCATTTGTGTGCATATTCTTCACCCGGAAAAAGCGGCACAATGATTTCAGTAGTATTATGTCATTATGGCTACTCCCCGCCGCGTCAGCTGTGTTGCTCTATGGTTGTAATAGATGATATTTTGTAAATACAATTTTATCAGACTCATATTAACAGTTGTTGAAGTGGACAGTCGATGTATATATAGTCGTTAAAGTTAGTGATGCTTCGGTCACGCTCACTCCTGTGCCATTGCGCACCAAAATGTATTAGGATACAATAACTTGTTGTGTACCGGTAGTTACGTCTAGTATTGGATATTGCGGGTAGTGCAAGAAGCTTATATACAACACTGGAGATTGCAGTGCAAACAATACCTTGAAGTGAAAAAATATGGCCTTGAATGACGTCACATATGTTTGTTATCTCTTTCTAAGGGTGACCATGTTGGAATATACGTTTAGGATACATACTTACTGGTATCGTCTTTAAACAATTTATAAATCAAAGCGTTGGAGTTGATAGGAACTTGGGAACACATTATTTAATAGTAATAAAATTCACAAGTACAAAAATCATTTTATTCATATTAGATGCGTCTTATATTATGCCATGTCAAAAACGTTTATAAAAAAATTAACGAGAAAGAATATGCAAACCCTTTTTAAAATCGCCAGAAATGACTTTTACTAAGAACGGACTAGAATCTCTAAGCTACATATTCTGGCTGATAAATAAAAATGACCTTTTAATGGTATTGTTACGTGTCGGGATGGGGTTCGAAATTATATGCCAGTTCACGATTGACAGTTCTTTATTCACCACACAGTTCACACAATTAACACACAATGTTAATTACAAAACACTCACTAAACACTGTATTTCACTATACAAGTCTCTAAACAATCTCACTTGAACACTTTTGTTGCACTTTGATCGCCTTTGGATTCGCTCCGAAATCGCTGTTGAAACTCAACTGTCTCTGCGCGGCGCCAATCGCCCTTATATACGCCGATCGATGCATTCTAGAAAGTAAATAAATAAATAAATATTTCCAACACTCACACGAATTAGCCTAGCCCCAAAGTAAGTACTATAAGGCTTGTGTTATGGGATACTAGGGTAACGGATAGAATACATAAACTGTACATATTTATGTTTATTTTTTTTTATAGAAATACATATTAAACATCCATGATTGGAGTACAAATGCTCGTATTCATCACACAAACATCTGTCCCCACCGCGATTTGAACCCGGGACCT